CTCAATTTAAAGAAACACACTCTGCAAATAGGAAATTTTAGGTCACCAGCCCTCCCCTAAAAACCCAGGGTGGCCTCTTCTATTCAGGGAATTTAAAGAGCAGCATTGAGATGTCTGTCTCTCTTGAGGGAAGCCACCGTGGAAATTAGTACATAAGGGCAGCAACTCTCTCTTGGGTAGAAGTGACTAATCTGAAAATGATGTCTTCTCCTTACCAAGCTCGAGTAATTGGCTTGCTGAGACCCCTCAAGGATGTAACAGTGACAGCTGGGGAATCAGCAACCTTTGATTGCGAACTCTCTTATGAGGGAATCCCAGTAGAGTGGTTCCTGCAAGGAAAGAAACTGGAGCCCAGTGATAAGGTAAAGAAGCAAAACTTTATTTTTCCTCATGTTTCCTCCTCCTTCCTCTCTTTCAACTCTCTTCTCCTTCTTTATTTCTTATTTACTCTCTGCCAGTAGAAGCACTAAGGCACAGCAATACAGTAGTGCTGCTGTGCCAAATGGTAAAACCTCACTAAAGCAGATATAGCATTTTTTTCCCCAGAAATTCCAGTATTCTGGAATACTACAAATATTTATCATACAAAGGGAAACTAAGATTCAAAAATATCAATGATTACAGCAGTGATTTTGTTCCTGATTCTGTTGGAGACTCAGACACAGGGGTGAATGATTTTTGCTTAATTGGAGATTACAATTTGCTTAATTGTAGGTTAATTGTAGTTATAGTGAGAGGGTTTTGAAAGGTGCTATCAGGAAATGCTTTTTTTCTCCTGAATGCTGAGTTGCAGTCCAATTCTGCTTATAAGGGGATTAAGAGGATTCAAATTCCATTTCAGGCATTTGTTCTGGCTCTCCAGATAACTTTCTGGGCAGATTTGCTTGTCAAGCACTTCTCACTAGCTATTTTTAACCCTTCATCAAGTACCGGCTCTTAACACTGAGATCTGAGCAGCCTGGAATGCAGTCAGTTTAATATTCAAAGTTAATGGTAGGGGAAATACATAAAGAAACATAAAGAAATACATTAAGAAACAGAAAATATAAATGGATATCACTGGTTATAAGACTTCTTTTTCATGTACTAGTCCTAAGGGAAATAATGCAAAAATTAGAAACCTCACACAAAGCAAACTTTCAAGGTTTCAGAACCTGTAATAATGCTGCTAATAATACTTTAGTACAGATCTTTTTCTTTTACATACAATTTTTAGCATATTATTTCAGGTTTTACTAGATCTTCTGAGCTTCACCAAATTTGCCTAAAAGAAATAAAAAATATTTTATAAAAAAAAAGAATATAGAAATAGGAAAAGAAAAACTAATCATGGTGATAGGTGACCCTGTTACAGTATTTAAGGACAGATAAACAAAATTGAAACTCAGCAGGTGAGATGTAATAAATCAAGCTAATGGTTTCTGAGTCTAGGAATAAAAATGTGGAAAGATATTGATCGGTGCAGTGGCTTGACAGTTATTACTGCATGGCAAGAAAAATATTGTATGTTCAATATTCTGTATGATGGAACATTATTTTGTTCTTATGCGCTATCATTTTAATTACATGAAAAAAAATCTAGATTTTCATTCAGTTTACATATACAGTCAAAGCTGTCATTTTACTTCAGTTGAAATTTTGTCAAGAAGAAATTCAGAGTAAACCATATATTTACTTGATGCCCATTGAAAATAGCCTCTTGAAACACTTTTACTACCATCTTCAAGATTTAATTGTACAAGTGTTTCATTTCAACTGTTTTTAATTCAGACCATTATTTTGCCTCTGCGGCCGGCATTCAGCTGTACACATAGAACCTTTATTGAAGTGACTTCTTTCTTTATCTTTACTGCTTATCTTGGTCAAATATATATTTGCCTGCATCTCAATCTCTTTCAGATGAGCATTCACTAGAGCTAGTTTTCAGGGACACAATGACCATTGGGGAGGAAGGACAGCCTCTTAGTTCCTTCCTTCCCTCTGAAGCAAAAGGGACTGTCTTCTCAAAAGTAACTTAATCTTTTACGCTTCTTCCTGAGCAGAAGCTCGCTTTTCTCCTTTATTTTTCTAAAGCAGCATCTACTACTTGATCACATACTTCTCTGAAAACAAATAAATAGAATTCTTCAAGAGCTATGTTAAAATTTACGGCATGAATGAGTAGCAGCCCTCTTAATGGCTGCAGTGCAGGATGTATCCTTGAATCCCCCAGGTCCACTCCTAGAGAAAAAGGATGTTTGTGTAGCAGTAGCCCAATTCAAACTCATGATTGCAAAGTAGTTTCAGCAATAAATCAACACAGAAATGTTTTTTTTTAGGCAGAATTTTTTACCAAAATTTAATAATAGAAAGTCAAATCAGCATTTTCAAAAGAGTGTATTAAGGGGGTGCCAAACCTCTCTATATCTCTCTAAAAGTTTTTACTTTAGATGTAACCAGAAGTAATACCAACTTTTTCCCATAAATTTATTTATTTTGGTATTTATTAGTACCTGCTCAAAATAAACATGATCTCAAGTCAGCCTCATTTTGAACTTTGATAGTAGATTCAGGTTTTCTAATACAAGGACACAAATACCTTAAAACATGGGGAAACTTAAAATTACAATTACTTGTAAGTGAAAGGACAAAACAGAAATGATTCTTAAAATCCTCAAAGCATTTGTGTCTTGAGCTATACCTAGTATAAACAAAAGGATATTATCGAAATTTCATATAAAAATAAACAACCAAACTCCATAGATAACAATAAATAGCAATGCTATTTCATTAAATATTTCTTAAATATTTGTTGTAAATACTTACAAAGGGGTTTTTTATGTACTTTATAAGGTCATGACACGTGCTGAAGGAAGAGTTCACACACTTATTCTTAGAGACGTCAAGTTAACAGATGCAGGAGAGGTATCACTGACAGCAAAAGATTTCAGAACTCAGGCAAATCTTTTCGTGAAAGGTAAGTCAGCTATTTTAATTATACCATAGTCAGTGTTAATGGCCCATTAATGATTCACCCTGGAATAGGATGTTAATATACACCATATATCAAATTAGTAGGATCATACATACAATATTGGACTGGTAGATAACTTTCCCGATTAAAAAAGCCACTTACTTAAAATCTTTATGCTTCACAGAAGAGCTGAGGAAAGGGAGAAATGCTGGAAATGGGAAATTAATCAGTTCATTAGGATTTCCAGGGCTTCATTGCAGACTTGAACATTCAATTGGCCTCAAGATGACCCACAAATACTGGCCTTTATGGCTCCCAAAGGCTTTTTTCTGTTCTTCGGAGTACCCAGAAACCTATAAGAGCACAACTACACCATCAGTCAAGTGACATAACATTGACCGTATACCCACTTGCACTGCTTGCAAGCTGTGTATGGCTAAGAAGTCAAAAAACTGCACACACTTCTAACTAATTTAGTAATTCAAGGAAAAAAAATTTTAAAAGCATTCCTTAAGTTCAGAGTATAACTTCAGAGTCACTAAGATCACATGGGTATTCTTCAGCTAAAGAAACTGAGTTGCAAGGTTTTGTGATCATTTGTGAGTAAAAACCCTGTGGAAAAGGGTATCATTCAGTCTAATCTTACAGTAGGCTGAGAATGAAGAAATTAACTGAATTATCTGAACATGTTTGGGCATTAAAAATAAAAAATAAAAAAAAAACCAAACTTCAGCAGAAGTGTATAAGAGCCTTTTTGATTATTCAGTCAAGGAAAATTAGTAAACAGTATGGGACAGTTCTGTACTAGCAGAGGGCTGGCTATAATTTAGATCTTTTCTATCAAAAATCTGTTTCTTTTAGAACCCCCAGTTGAATTTACTAAACCACTTGAGGACCAGACTGTTGAAGAGGAGGCCACTGCAATACTGGAATGTGAAGTTTCCAGGGAAAATGCAAAAGTTAAATGGTTCAAAAATGGAGAAGAAATTCACAAAACGAAGAAGTATGATATAATTTCTGATGGCAGGGTCAGAAAACTCATTATTCATGGCTGCACACTGGATGATGCAAAAACATATACCTGTGATGCTAAGGATTTTAAGACATCATGTTTTCTCAATGTAGAACGTGAGTCATTTACAGTTTTCTACAAAATGTCTAAGTGCTATAAACGTCATGTACTGGTGTCTGTGACTGGCAATAATATCAATGTCAGCAATTTATTCTTCTCTACCGAACACTTTCCTCTACTAAAAATTTTCTTTTCTCTTATAGCTATTCGTGTTGAGTTCCTGAAACCCCTAACTGACCTTGAAGTTAAAGAAAAAGAATCTGCTCGATTTGAATGTGAAATTTCTCGTCCAGGTGTCAAGGTCAATAATAATACTTTTTAATCGGAATAACTCCTTCAACTAGAGCTTTTTTTTTTAAATTGACAACTTTATTGTGTTGTTACAAAAGAATACACAACTGAAATCTATGATGAGTATGTTAATATTAATAACCATGTTGATTTGTTCTAAAACAGGTGAAGTGGTTTAAGGATGGTATTGAAATTAGAAAAGGCAAGAAGTATGACATAATTTCCAAAGGTGCAGAACACATTCTTCTTGTCAGTAAATGTGTCTTGGATGATGAAGCTGAATACGCCTGTGAAGCCAAAACAGTTCGAACTTCAGGCCTACTTACAGTGATAGGTAAACACAGTGTTTTAGAATCTAATTTATGAAAAAGAAACATGTTTTTTTGATGAAAGGCTTTAATCATCTTTCTAAATTCGTGTTGCAGAGGAAGAGGCTGTTTTCACAAAAAATCTTCCTGATCTTGAAGTAAATGAAAATGACACTGTGAAATTGATCTGTGAAGTTTCAAAGCCTAATGCCGAAGTTACTTGGTTTAAAGGAGATGAGGAGGTGCCTGATGGTGGTAGATTTGAACACATTTCTGATGGCCGAAAGAGAATTCTTCTCATACGTAATGCTCATCCTGAAGATGCTGGCAAATATACTTGCAAGCTCCCAAGCTCTAGTACAACAGGCAAACTTACTGTACATGGTAAGACACTTAATTTGGTGGCCTTGTTTTCTGGAAAAAAAATTAAAAAATAAAAAATCTTAAAAATCAGTAAGAATACACAACTTGGTTTATTCTCTTCATAAGTAAAAAATAAAATAAAATAATATATATCTACAAAAATGTTTTATTTCAGAACTTGCAGCAGAATTTCTTACCAGACCACAAAATCTTGAGGTGCTTGAAGGAGACAAAGCTGAATTTGTCTGTTCAGTATCCAAAGAGGCAATTACAGTAGAGTGGCGGAGGGGCGACGCAGTCCTGGAGCCTGGTGATAAGTACGACATCATTTCAGATGGCAAAAAGAGAACACTTGTGGTTAAAGATTCTATTCTAGGAGATGCAGGAAAGTATACTGTCATGGTTGGTGAAGCTAAAGCTACAGCACGCTTAACAGTGATTGGTAAGCTTTATTTTATCAATGTGCAGGTGCATATTTTGTTGCATTCCTTGTACTACATGATGTCCTATTTCTTCCATTTTCTCAATTTCAGAAAAACTCAGGATTATAACTCCCCTTAAGGACCAAGAAGTTAATGAGGGTCAAGAAATTATCTTCAACTGTGAAGTGAATAAAGAAGGTGCCAAAGAGAAGTGGTACAAAAATGATGAGGCAATATTTGATAGTGCAAAATACATTATTGTCCAGAAGGATTTAGTTTACACTCTCAGAATCAGAGATGCACAGTTGAAAGATCAAGCTACCTATACCATCTCACTGTCAAACCAGAGAGGCGAACACGTCAAAAGCTCTGCTGCCTTAACAGTATTAGGTAAATAACTTGCACTGTATTAAATTTATTTCATCATCTTACATTCAATTTCACATCAGGATCATGAGGATGTAAATTAATCCGTTTGGGTTTTTTGTCTTAACAGAAGAGGATCTCAGAATTATTGAGCCCCTTGAAGACATTGAAACCATGGAAAAGAAAACTGTCACATTCTGGTGCAAAGTCAATCGCCTCAATGCAACCCTCAAATGGACAAAAAATGGTGAAGAGGTCACCTTCAACAAGCGCATTTTGTACAAAATCGATAAATACAAACACTCACTCATCATTAAAGACTGTGGGTTTATAGATGAAGGTGAATACACTGTTACAGCTGGACAAGACAAATCTGTTGCAGAGCTTCTCATCACAGAAGCACCAGCAGACTTCACTGAACATCTCCGGGACCAAACCGTCACTGAATTTGATGATGCTGTCTTTACATGCCAGCTTTCCAAAGAGAAAGCCAGTGTAAGATGGTACAGAAATGGAAGGGAAATCAAAGAAGGCAAAAAGTATGTACATTTTATTATGCTTGTTAATATGCTAAACATGCTTGCTTTGCTTTGTTGCTTTGTCTGGAAATTAAAATACTGCTTATTTTTCTCCCCCATAAAGGTACCAGTTTGAAAAGGATGGAAATCTGCACAGATTAATCATAAAAGACTGTAGACTAGATGATGAGTGTGAATATTCCTGTGGAGTGGATGACAGGAAATCTAGGGCAAGACTTTTTGTGGAAGGTATGAGTAAAACTGAATAGGATTTATTTCTTCATTATTTAGTAATAATAGAAAGAATACACAAATAACACCAAATGAATTGACATTTATTTCAGAAATCCCTGTTGAGATCATCCGACCACCACAAGATATTTATGAAGCTCCTGGTGCAGATGTCATCTTCATGGCCGAGTTGAACAAAGATGGTGTGGAGGTCAAGTGGTTGAGAAACAACATGATTATCGTCCAAGGTGACAAACATCAGATGATGAGTGAAGGAAAGGTCCACAGGCTGCAGGTGTGCGACATAAAGCCCCGTGACCAAGGAGAATACAGATTTATTGCCAAGGATAAGGAAGCTAGAGCTAAGCTTGAATTAGCTGGTAAGTTGCTTGCTTTGTGTTTCTTTTATAAAATCTTAGATTAGTGAATTAACTATTTAATTAAATTGATTTTTGTTCTTTCAAAGAGTTGAATTAAAATGAATTCACAATCAAGCTGAGACAAGTGCAAGTCTGTTAAACTGTATGAATTATAATTCAGGCCACAAACATTTTTTATTATACCACACTGATCCAACTGTTGAGGAAAATACAGGTCACTTTTCAGTGTCTATACCAACGAGTGTGAATTGAGCTTAAAGGAGACAAAACTTTTTCATTAGGTCACTGCAGATCTAAAACATGAAAATTATTTGGCCTACTCACTTCAGTCATATAAGACATTTAATTCCTAATTTGTCTATTTTACAGGATCAGACCAATAAAATACATTAAATTAATGCTCAAAAAGCAATTCCCTCTTCCCCAATTTTATAGGAGGACACAGTACATACCAACCAGCCTGAGTTTCTTTCTCTGGAGCAATCGATGAGTATACGAAGGATTTGTTTAGAATTCACACAACAGCTTCTTTTACTTTTCTATGTTAGCTGCTTTGCTGACTACACAAATATATCACACTTTTTTTATATGTAGGTACTTACTTGTCATGTTGATCTTCCTTAGCTGCACCAAGAATCAAGACTGGTGATCAAAACCTTGTGGTTGATGTTGGGAAGCCTTTAACTATGACTGTTCCATATGACGCCTACCCAAAAGCAGAAGCTGAATGGTTGAAAGGGGAGGAAAGTCTGCCCACAACAACTGTTGATACAACAAATGACTGCACTACCTTCAAAATTTATGAAGCAAAGAAATCAGATAAGGGAAGGTACAAGGTTGTACTTCAAAACAAACATGGCCAGGCAGAAGCATTCATCAATGTAGAGGTCATTGGTAAGTACTCCCATTATTAAAACCTTGTTTACATTTATTTAAGCCAGAGGAAAAAAAAAAAAAAAAGATGCAATGCCCTAAAGTATTGTCATATCTTTGTTAGATGTTCCAGGTCCGGTTAGAAACTTGGAAGTCACTGAAACTTATGATGGTGAAGTTGGCCTCACCTGGCAAGAACCAGAAAGTGATGGTGGAAGTAAAATAATAGGCTATGTCGTTGAAAGACGTGATATCAAGCGTAAGACCTGGATTATGGTCACTGATCGTGCTGAAAACTGTGAATACACTGTTACTGGACTTCAAAAAGGAGGAGTTGAGTACCTCTTCCGTGTTAGTGCACGGAACAGAGTGGGCATTGGTGAGCCAGTGGAAACAGAGAGACCTGTGGAAGCTAAGAGCAAATTTGGTGAGCAGAAGTTATGAAAAACTCAGTGTTTGATGACAGTGTAAGAAAAGCAGTACAAACTAACAATAGGTAAAAAACACATACCTTGTTTTTCCTTTTTCTCCCTAAAATAAAATACAGAAGTTCCTGGTCCTCCTCAAAATGTAGAAGTTACTGATGTGAACAGGTTTGGAGCTACACTTACCTGGGAACCACCTGAGTATGATGGAGGATCTCCAATTACTGGCTATGTTATTGAACTCCGTAACAGAGCTTCCATCAAATGGGAGCCAACTATGACCACTGCAGCTGATGAATTGTCAGCTGTCCTGACTGATGTTGTGGAAAATGAAGAATATTTCTTCAGAGTAAGAGCTCAAAACATGGTTGGAGTTGGCAAACCAAGTCCTGCTACACGTGCAGTAAAAATTATGGACCCAATCGGTAAGTATGCAAGCACTGATTGTGATTGCATTATGAGACAGGGACATTTTGGCTGTTTATGTATTATGTGTGCAGGAAAGTTCAATTGAGAAACGTGTGCTGCAACTACCATGTACAGTTAGATTTTTTCTACTTTTGTCCTTCAAACATATTAGAAGTACCTTGCTACCATTTCGTTCAGTAACAACTCCAAATATTTTTGCTCTGAAATTAGGATCCAACCTCATTTCAAAAACTGGTTTAGAAAAAGCTATGCAAAGGCTTGAAAAATCTATGCAAAGGCTTTAAAAAGAGTACTTTAAGGTATAGACAGCTGATATGCAGAACCATATTCCTTTATCAGTTGTGAAAATGTATTTCTCTCAAATTATTTTCAGAGAGACCAAGTCCTCCCATTAACTTTGATCATTCAGACCAAACTAAGTCATCAGTGCAGCTCACATGGGAACCTCCCCTCAGAGATGGAGGAAGTCCAGTCTTAGGCTATATTGTTGAAAGGCAAGAAGAAGGAACAGACAAGTGGATTCGCTGTAATCCAAAACTAGTACCTGCTCTTACTTTTAAGGTAAGATGTTATGTTCATCAACAAAGTGCTCAAAATGTGTATCTCATCTTTAATATGAGTCACTGAATGATTATTTGTGCTTCTTAGGTAACTGGATTGAAACCAGGATCCAGTTATTACTACAGAGTCTCAGCAGAAAATGCAGCTGGTGTGTCTGACCCAGCGGAGGCTATTGGGCCATTAACTGCAGATGATACTTTTGGTAAGCCATCTGCTATTTTTAAAGATAATTAATCAGATAAGACACACAATTAAAGTGCATCTTGTGGGTAATATGTATATTTTTCACCAGATAACTGTGATGCCAACTAGTATAGAGAGCCTTAGACCTTTGAGAGTCTGAACTATTTCTCCTCCATTATGAATTCTGCAGATAATTAGCTGTACTATTAGGCAGAGACTTATTAGGTTGCCTGAAGAGCAAGGCCTTTTGTCTCCTGACGTAGCTTTGTGGGAGATGGGAGATAACAGAAGGAGAGAAAGGCAGAGAAGATAAGAAAAATAAAATTGAAACAATACAAAGTTTTTATATTAAAAGGTAAATTAGATCTCCCACTTGATAATGCTAAGCAGCCTTATCATCTCACATATTTCTAAAAAACATTTAGCCAGGAGCGATAGGGAGTGATAAGCCACAGCTAGGCCTAGACAGCTCTAACCTGCAGGCTGAGATACAGTCAGAATCAGCCTCTCAACACAGCTATCATTAGCCATATTCAGAACATCTGAAAATATTTCAGTGAATCTATTTTCCACTTTTTCCAGTTGGACCTACAATGGACCTAAGTGCATTTAAAGATGGGCTGGAAGTAATTGTTCCAGAGCCAATCAAGATCCGTGTCCCTACCACTGGCTACCCTGTGCCAACCGCCACATGGTCTTTTGGTGACCAAGTCTTGGAAGAGGGTGATCGTGTAACAATGAAGACCACTGCGTCCTTTGCAGAACTTGTAATTACTCCAAGTGAACGTCCAGACAAGGGAATTTATTCCTTAACATTAGAAAACGCTGTGTCATCTGTTTCAGGAGAAATTAATGTTAATGTCATTGGTAAGTGGTCATATATATATTCTAGCAATAACATTCTATATTTGTCTTGCTAAAATCTAATTAGGTTAATAATGTGGAATCACACAACTTTCAGTAAACCAAGTATATTTAAAATATAACTAAAAACTCTTTTCTGGTTTTCAATATCCAACTTCGCTGTTTAAGGAAGAATAACTAAAAAGTGTAAATCTTCTGGCAGATAGATTACATAGAGATCATTTGTCAAACTCCTATTACAAAATAATTAATGCAATTTCTGTGATTTCTAGCTCGTCCAAGTGCACCAAGAGAACTTAAAGTTTTAGACATAATCAAGAACACAGTACAGCTGTCATGGGAACCTCCAGAAGATGATGGTGGAAGTCCAGTTACTGGCTACATAATTGAAAAACGTGAAGTAAGCAGGAAAACATGGAACAAAGTAAGTTCATTCTTTCTCGTTTCAATTTCTATTTGCTATATGGTTTCCACATGTGCTACTGAACTTTTTTTCTTATTTTGGTAATTGCTCTTTGGAAATAAATTTTAGAAACACATTGGAGCCTTCCTTCTCTTTAGGTTATGGATCATGTTGTTGACCAAGAGTTCACTGTACCTGACCTCATCCAAGGAAAAGAATATTTATTTAGAGTTTCTGCATGCAATAAATGCGGCCCAGGAGAACCTGCGTATATCGATGAACCTGTAAATATGTCAGCACCAGCAAGTGAGTCAACTGTTTCACATTGTTGCTGATTTTCTGTTTCTGAGATCTTGTTAATTTTCTTCAAAATAAGATGTAAAAAAAAACTTTCCTTAGGCTGGTTTCTAAGACCCCATATGTTTTTGATTTTTAATAGCGGTGCCCGATCCACCAGAGAATGTTAAATGGAGAAATCCAACATCAAAAGGAATCTTCCTAACATGGGAGCCTCCCAAATATGATGGTGGTGCCCGCATTAAGGGTTATCTGGTAGAAAAATCCCAACGTGGCACAGACAAGTGGGAGACATGTGGGGAGCCTGTTGTTGAAACAAAGTAAGTAAATTAACATCAAAGGGTATATCCTTTCAACTAACTGAGCCATCCTCACCACTTTAAATATCTGGATTTTTTTTTTTTTAACAAACAGAATGGAAGTAACAAAACTCAAGGAAGGAGAGTGGTATGCATATCGGGTTAAGGCTTTGAACAGAATAGGAGCTAGCAAGCCAAGTAAGCCAACAGATGATATTCAGGCCATTGATGCAAAAGGTAATTACTTCAATCACCAAATTACAATAACTGCTTTATTTTTACTAGAGTCTGAAATACTGTTTCTATAACAACGTTTTTATTCTCTCCTAAATCAGAGGCTCCAGAAATTTTCTTAGATGTGAAGCTTCTCGCTGGACTTACTGTGAAAGCTGGAACTAAAATTGAGCTGCCAGCTAAAGTAATTGGAAAGCCTGAGCCCCAGATTACTTGGACCAAGGCTGACAAACTTTTGATACCTGACAACAGAATCACCATTGAAACCAAACCTAATCATTCTACAGTCACTATTACAGACAGCAAGAGGAGTGACAGTGGAACCTATATTATAGAAGCCGTAAATTCCAGTGGACGTGCTACTGCTGTCGTTGAAGTTAATGTTCTTGGTATGCATGTACTTTATGTTGTTTATAAAAAACATTAGTAATGTACTGAGGTATGCAAGCAGAAGATTAACATTCACATCTTGTCCTCTACAGATAAACCTGGTCCACCAGCTGCATTTGATGTATCAGAAATCACAAATGAATCGTGCCTTCTGACATGGAATCCTCCACGAGATGATGGGGGTTCTAAAATTACCAACTATGTCCTTGAGAAAAGAGCTACAGACAGTGAAATATGGCACAAATTGTCATCAACTATTAAGGATACAAAATTCAGAGCTACCAATTTAACTCCTCATAAAGAATATGTGTTCCGAGTCAGTGCCGAGAACATGTATGGTATTGGGGAGCCAGCACAGTGTAACCCCATCATTGCAAAATATTCATTTGGTTAGTTAATTAAATTAATGTTAATTTTTTACAATATTTTAACAGGAAAAAAAAGGATATTTGTGACGGTTTTGTTTTTTGGTTTTTGGTTTTTATTTATTAATTTATACAGATCCACCAGGCCCTCCAACAGGTCTCAAGCCTACAGAGGTCACTAAAGATTCAGTCACCTTAACATGGAATGAACCAGATGAAGATGGTGGCAGCCCTATAACTGGCTACTGGGTTGAAAGATATGATCCTGAGCAAGATAAATGGATAAAATGCAATAAAATGCCGGTGAAAGATACAACATTCAAGTAAGACTATAGTCAATTTAGTCTGAAATAGGCCACAGAGACATAAAAACGTAACAGTAGCCTTTTAAACAAGTTTTACATTGTTCTTACTCTTTTTTCGTTGCTTCCATAAGTTTAGATCCAACTAAAATCTGGTGGCATACTTTTTTTGATAATTAGTTTTAAAGGAGAATGTCTTTACAGAAGAGTGAATAATCTCTTTTTTTTTTTAAATGTTATGCTTAATAATTTCTGTGCTATGTGATTATTCATACGGCATTCTAAAATAGCAGACATAGCCATCTCAAGTATCAGTTTGCCAAAACCCTGGGATTTTTTTCTCCTGATACTCAACTAACAACCATGGAACATGCGAAAATGCAAGATGGCTCTCAAAACATTGGTTTCTGTGTCATGGTGCACCATTTTATTGTTGACAGTATACCTATTTTGACTGTTCACCATTTCATAAAACATCATTAGCAGTAATTTGGGTATTTTCAGATTTTCCAAGTAAACTGTAGTATGAAGAGTAGAGAGAATAATGGTTTAGGCATGAGTTAATGTGTAGATTTGGTTTAATCAAACTTAATTTTTATTTCCAGAGTTAAAGGTCTTACAAATAAGAAGAAATATAAGTTCCGTGTCTTGGCAGAGAATCTTGCAGGACCGGGAAAACCAAGCAAGGAAACAGAGCCAATCTTAGTGAAAGACCCAATTGGTATAATAAACACATTTCTAATTGTTTAATTTAACAACAAAAAAAAAATTCTTTGTTTTCAATTATGTAATTAATATTGGACTCCTGTCTAGATCCACCATGGCCTCCTGGAAAGCCAACTGTGAAAGATGTTGGCAAGACATCATTATTCCTGAACTGGACAAAGCCAGAACATGATGGAGGGGCAAAGATCGAATCTTATGTCATTGAACTATTAAAGACTGGAACAGACGAGTGGGTGAGAGTGGCTGAAGGAGTTCCCACAACTGAACACTTCCTCAAAGGGCTTATGGAGAAACAAGAATATTCATTCCGCGTGAGAGCTGTGAACAAGGCTGGTGAGAGTGAGCCCAGTGAACCCAGTGACCCTGTGCTGTGCAAGGAGAGGCTCTGTGAGTATTGTTTCAGAACGTGCTGCTACTGCAAATACACTGTCTCTGTCTTTAAAGAAGCCCCATGTCTGCCTGTGTCCGTAGGTACCAAGTGAACGCTTGGAAGGCTTATGGAATATTAGAACCTGCTGTGCTTCAGCTAAGAAAATACAAAGTTTTAATAGTTTTGGTGTTTTCCCTGTCCTCCAAGATCTTTGATGGGAAATACGCTGGCCTCTTTTTACCTTCTTTTTCTGTTTTACAGATCCTCCTTCACCACCTCGGTGGCTTGAGGTTATTAATATTACTAAAAACACAGCAGATCTTAAGTGGACAGTACCAGAAAAAGATGGGGGCTCCCCAATTACCAACTACATTGTTGAAAAGAGAGATGTAAGGCGAAAAGGCTGGCAGACAGTTGATACAACAGTGAAAGATACCAAGTACACAGTGAGCCCACTGACTGAAGGCTCATTGTATGTGTTCCGTGTGGCTGCTGAAAATGCCATTGGACAGAGTGACTATTGTGAAATTGAAGATTCAGTGCTTGCTAAAGATACTTTCAGTAAGTTTCAGATTTGCTTAGTGATCAGTAGGAACAGCTCACATGTAATGGATTCCTATTCTTCTAATGTGTGTATTTTTTCTTTAGCAACCCCTGGGCCTCCATATGCTCTTACAATAGTTGAAGTGACAAAAGGTCATGTTGATTTGAAATGGGAACCACCTAAGAATGATGGTGGCAGACCGATTCAAAGGTAAGGTCATTTAACGTTTGTGTAGTGTTTCCTGTAGATGAAGATGAATGTCATGAATGAAGACATTTCTCCCAAAATGTTTAAATTTTAAATGGACACATTTTATATGAAAAAGAGGTGAATGGATGTAAAAGAGAAGCCATGTGGTCAAAACAATTAAGGGTTTGATTTTAAAATGTGGAAATTATGCATATATAAATAACCTAACCTGTATGAACAATCAATGTGTGTCAACATCCTTAAAACAGCATCTAATCAAATCAGATTAACTTGAACTGTATATAAAATTTAAAAAAAATTAATGCAACCGTAGTCTCCAGTTCTTCCAGAGTTGTAGCCACTTAGACCCGTGTACCAAGTAATATAATTACATTTTCCTTCTGCCTAAGTTTCTCATTCAAACTGTATGCACTTAGCTAAGATAAAGCCTCATCTCTTTTCTGTTCATTCTCTTCTTTATTACACTTTTCAAACAGACTGTTTTACTCCTTTGGGTTGCTTCTTACTTGTCCTTTTCTTTGGTTTCTAAAGTATCTGTCCTCTGAAATTCACCTTGAATGCCAGTTACATTTTTCCTTTTTATATTTTCACTCTTTCTCTCCTTCCCAATAACAGTAAGCATATCTTGAACAAACTGACAACTACAGAGATCTGCCTGAAGCAACATGTCGCTTAATTCACATTACTTTCCCATAGCCTATCATAGGCAGAATTTTGACAGCTGAGTAACTCACAGATAATATCTACAAATATTCTCAGTGGACTAACCACTGAGATGCAAACTAGCAATGATACAAGTGTAGTTTGGAGGTTCTTTTACCTCTGCAGCTCTCTAAAACTGAGAACACAGCAGAAGTTCAGGAACTGGTTTTCAGAATTGGGTCTGTCAGTAATGTCAACCCCATTATGTCCAAGACCTACCAGGACTACCAGGATTAAGTGGCTGATTTGTGAAGTAAATTGCATTGAATCTGTCACCCATGACTCTCTCTATTTTTCCACTGGCCAAACTATTCTAATCTCTCTTCATCTATTTTATTGAGTAAGAAGCCTGAAGTGTTCATATGTCAAGTGCCTGATAGTATTTCCCCCAATTTATTCAGATATGTTATTGAAAAGAAAGAAAAACTAGCCACTCGCTGGGTAAAAGCTGGCAAGACAGCTGGTCCAGATTGCAATTTCAGAGTGACTGATGTCATTGAAGGTACAGATGTACAGTTCCAGGTTCGTGCAGAAAATGAAGCTGGCTGCGGTCATCCCAGTGAACCAACCGACCTCATTCATATTGAAGATCCAACAAGTAAGTAGTAGTATAATATTCAGTGTATGGATTATGGAAGCAGTGTACTGTGTAAAACAGATATTCTGGGAGGAAAATGACACAATTCTTTTCCATTTCTGCAGGCCCTCCTTCACCTCCTCAGGATTTACATGTCACAGATGCAGGTCGAAAACACATTTGCATTGCATGGAAACCACCTGAGAAGAATGGTGGAAGCCCTATTATTGGGTATAATGTTGAGATGTGTGAAGCAGGAACAGAAAAATGGATGCGAATCAATTCTCGTCCAATAAAAGATCTAAAATGTAAAGTGGAGGAAGGTGTTGTTCCAGACAAGGAATATGTGCTGAGAGTCAGAGCTGTCAATGCTGTTGGAGCTAGTGAGCCATCAGACATCTCAGAAAAAGTTGTTGCCAAGGACCCAGACTGTAAGAATACATTCTTTTTTTTTTTCCAGATCCACATAACTGAAAAAAGAATGGTGTTTGGCAACTTTCTAGCAATATTATACTTACTTTTACAGGTAATCCAACCATTGATCTAAAAACTCGTGACATTGTTGTTGTTAAAGGACAGAAATTAAGTATCCCTATACCCTTCAGAGCTGTTCCATCCCCAACTATAACATGGCACAAAGATGGCAAAGAGTTGAAAGCTGGTGACAGAACAACAATGAAGAGTGACTACACCTCTGCATTGCTAGAAGTCATAGACAGTGTTCATGCTGATGCTGGTGTTTATACTATCACATTGGAGAACAAGCTGGCATCAACAACTGGCTCAGTCAACGTCAAAGTCATAGGTAACTAGCCCTTTTCGATTCTGAGAAAGATTCTTATCCGTACTTGAGCCCTGCAGCTGACAGAAGAAAGGACTAGAAAAATCCCTTTTCTGCCATGTGGAGGAATCACTTCAACTCAGACACATGTAGATTGCCATAAAGGCATTAATGTTACAAAATCCACAAAAAAAATACTTTACTGCAAGTTGGTCTAACTAGTCAGTGGCTGCTCAAAGCCCAATTATTATGAATAGTCATCATATAAATATAAAAAATCCTATAAGAATTCTGAATATTTTTCACCTTTAGGAATATAAATTAATATATATGCTGTGTAGCCAACATTTGTGGGTTTGGTCTGCTCTCTGCAAAGCAAGGAAATGCAATATAATTTCATATTTGTAGGAATACAGTTTCCCATCTACTTAGTTAACTAGTTCTATTATTATTCTTATTTAAAACAGGTCCGCCTGGACAGTGTAAAGACATTAAGGCAAGCGAAGTAACTAAGAATTCTTGCAAAGTATCCTGGGAACCTCCAGACTTTGATGGTGGTACTCCTATTCTGCATTATGTTCTGGAACGCAGAGAAGCTGGTCGTAGAACATATATCCCAGTCATGTCTGGTGAAAATAAGCTTTCATGGCAAGTCAAAGATCTTATCCCAAACAGTGAATATTACTTCCGTGTTAAAGCTGTCAATAAGATTGGAGGAGGTGAATATCTTGAACTAAGAAACCCAATCATTGCAGAAGACCCAAAACGTAAGGTTTTTTTACTACTAAATAATCTAGCAAACTGCATTTTAACTAAATCTTCATACTTTCTTTTCTCATATGATCCCTCTTTTGCTACTCTTCCACAGAGCCTCCAGATCCTCCTGTTGACCTTGAGGTCCATAATCCAACATCAAAATCAGTAACACTTACATGGAAACCACCGCTGTTTGATGGTGGAAGCAAGATTATGGGTTATATAATAGAAAAGCTCGCTAAAGGCAAGGATAGGTGGGAGAGATGCAATGACTATCTGGTACCTCTATTAACTTATCCAGTGAAAGGTCTTGAGGAAGGAAAGGAATATCAGTTTCGCGTTCGTGCTGAGAATGCTGCTGGCATCAGTGAGCCTTCTCGGATTACTCCTTTTGTGAAAGCTGTGGATCCTACCGGTATGAATTGCTCATTTGATTCTGTAGTAATTGCCATACATCCTCAAACATATTGGAAAATTCTACTCTCCATTTATCATTCTGTGTTATTACAGAGGCTCCAAAAGTCTTCCTTGCTGCAAAACTACAGTCTGGTCTTGAGGTGAAGAGAGGTGATGAGATCATACTTGAGGCACATATTTCAGGGTCACCTTATCCATCTATCATTTGGCTGAAGAATGATGAAGTTGTCAGACCAGAGGAAATAAAAAAGAGAGTAACAACATATACAAGGAAGAAGAAGGGTGAAGCTGAAGAAGAGGAACCTTTCCAGCTTTCACTGCCAGAACGTATGAGTATTGACAACCATAAAGAAGGAGAGTCTGTACTATCAATTCGTGACTCCATCAGAGCTGACCATGGCACGTTTACAATTAAAGTGGAAAATGATCATGGTGTTGCAAAAGCCTCATGTGAAGTCAATGTGTTAGGTATGTAATGAATGTCATCAAAAACACCTAGCTGCTCAGAGTATTGGGTAAGAAGTGCACAAGACGAGTACTCATCATTTTTCTTGCTTTATTAACAGATACACCTGGGCCTCCAGTCAACTTTGTATTTGAAGATGTGAGGAAAAATTCAGTCATTTGCAAGTGGGAGCCTCCCCTTGATGATGGTGGAAGTGAAATCCTAAACTATGTACTGGAAAAGAAAGACAATACAAAAGCTGAAATGGGCTGGGTCACTGTCAGCTCAACACTCAGGCATTGCAAATTCCATGTAACAAAACTGATTGAAGGAAAAGAATATCTCTTCCGTGTATTTGCTGAAAATAGAGTTGGATCAGGGCCACCATGTGTTTCAAAACCAATGACAGCGAAAGATCCTTTCTGTAAGTTTTAATTTTGAAATACAACCTTTTCAGAAAACCAGTGTAAAACTACACAGACTCTGAGAACACTCAGCTTCCTCTACATGAATGTTTCCCAGAAGAAACTTGAGCAATGTAATTATTATTTATTGCACATTTTAAACCATTGAAATAAAGGGAAATATTGAAAACATTCTAATTTCAATAGTAGAGAAATAAGAATGACAATCACTGTCATAAAACTTCACACTTAAAACACTTACTATCTGAATAGTGGCATTCTCTGTGTTCAGTAGACTAACATTCTCACCAAAAGAAAGAAACACTGCAAGTTTGATTACTGATTGCAGTTAGGAATCAAAGTTTCTAAGAAAGAGAGTAGAAGAACTATGAAATGACTTAAAATTAGTCGTTTCTCATACCTTAGTTCTCTCTTAGCTTTGAGTGAGCTCTGAAGAAGACAGCAATGATGACAAAATTGCAATCCTTTTTTTCAGCTCCACCAGATCCACCTAATAAGCCTGATGTGCAAGATGTTACCAGCAACAGTATGGTGGTTAAATGGAATGAACCAAAAGACAATGGCAGCCCGATCATAGGATATTGGATTGAAAAACGTGAAATTAATAGTACTCATTGGGCTCGGGTCAACAGGAACCTTGTGAATGCCCTGGAAATAAAAGTTGAAGGACTGTTGGAAGGATTAACCTATGTCTTTAGAGTATGTGCTGAAAATGCAGCTGGCCCTGGTAAATTTAGTCCACCATCAGATCCAAAAACTGCGCAGGACCCAATAAGTAAGTAGCTTAGCAGAAGCTAATAACAGATAGGTGACAGAATAGGATTCATAGCCTTTAACTTTGATTTACACCTATTTATTTATAGTGCCACCTGGTCCACCAATTCCAAGGGTTGCTGATACAAGCTCAACTTCTATTGAGTTAGAATGGGAACCTCCTGTGTATAATGGCGGTGGAGATATCACTGGTTACCACGTATACAAACAACTGGTGGGAGTAAAAGAGTGGTCACGTTGCACAGAGAAACCCATTAAGGTTCGACAGTATACTGTTAAAGAAGTCAGAGAAGGTGCAGACTATAAACTCCGTGTTACTGCACTTAATGCAGCTGGTGAAGGACCACCTGGTGAAACTGAACCTGTAACAGTTGCGGAACCTAAAGGTATTGCAATTGTATTATTTTCAAGAAATGTCCAGCTGCCTGAAAGGTGTTTCTTAATCTCTCCCTTGAACTAATGAACTGTTTCTCTCTCTTCTGCAGAGCCTCCCACTGTTGAGCTGGATGTTTCTGTCAAAGCAGGCATTCAGATCATGGCTGGGCAAACTATTAAAATTCCTGCTACTGTGACAGGGCGTCCTACTCCCACCATTGCATGGGCTGTGGAGGAGGGTGAATTAGACAAAGATCGAGTTGTTATTGAAAATGTTGGCACAAAATCTGAGTTAACCATTAAGAATGCATTGAGAAAAGACCATGGAAGATATGTAATTACTGCTACCAATAGCAGTGGTTCCAAATCTGCAGGAACCAGAGTAGAAGTATTTGGTAAGAAAAATATTTTCTGAAATGAACTTAGCATTTTTTTTGGTGAGATAATCTTTGGGCTTTGTCCTACTTGTTTGATTTTGTTTTTCAGATGTTCCTGGGCCAGTCCTTGACCTAAAGCCAGTGGTCACAAACAGAAAGATGTGTTTGCTTAACTGGTCTGATCCTGAAGATGATGGTGGCAGCGATATCATAGGCTTCATTGTTGAACGGAAGGATGCCAAAATGCATACATGGAGACTAGCTGTAGACACAGAGAGATCTAAATGTGATATTACAGGTCTAGTTGAAGGGCAAGAATATAAATTCCGTGTTAGTGCCAAGAACAAGTTTGGTACTGGTCCACCTGTTGAAATAGGACCCATTCTTGCAGTTGATCCATTAGGTAAGATGACTAATTTTATGGGGGTTTTAAACAATTTTTAATTATAGGTTAAGAAACCAGTATTGTTGTGTGGATTGTTTTCTATACAGAAAGTGTATTTACTTTTCTACTACCTGGATAAGGCATCTGCCTTAAATTAATTACTTCAGTCAGATCACTGAATCAGTTCTGTGAAACTACTATGGTTCTTTATGTAACAAAATACTGATGTCTACTGAGACACTACTTGTTGCCTTTTTATCCACATACATGAGAAACTTTATACTATCCATAACCATACTCAGATACTTTGCATACAAAATCTATGGCTTTAAAAAAACAGAGCTGCTGTACTCGTAAGATTAAAAATTCTCTCATTTTTTACTGGTTTTTAAACTATGATTTATCTATGTTAATAGGTCCTCCAACAGCACCGGAGAGGTTCATGTACACAGAGAGGACGAAGTCAACCATTACGCTTGACTGGAAACCTCCACGTAGTGATGGTGGCAGTCCTGTCTTAGGATATATTGTTGAGAAGAGGAGACATGATTCAAAAGACTATGAAAGAGTTAATGCAAGGCTCTGTCCAACAACATCTCTTCTTGTTGAAAAACTTGATGAACTTCATATGTATGAATTCCGTGTCAAAGCTGTCAATGCTATTGGAGAAAGTGAACCATCATTGCCCCTCAATGTAGTTATACAAGATGATGAAGGTATATCTGCTTTAAAGAAATACATACAAATATCTCCAGAACACTGGAAGGCAATTTCTGTGTTTCATCTCCATCTTCACTCCGTCATTTTTCTTCTTGTTTTCAGTACCTCCAACTGTTACATTACGCTTGGCTGTGAGAGGAGATACTATCAAAGTGAAAGCAGGAGAACCAGTTAATATTCCTGCAAAAAATGAATGGGACAAGAATGAAGTTTTAATTGACCAAACATCCAGTGCACTTAAGATAACCAAGGAAGAAGTATCTAGAAGTGAGGCAAAAACTGAACTTATCCTGGCTGCAGCAGTGAGGGATGATAAAGGCACTTACACTGTGAGAGCTTCCAATCGTCTTGGCACTGCATTTCGCAATGTGCATGTTGAAGTGTATGGTAAGGATGGGACAAGAATGAAGTTTTAATTGACCAAACATCCAGTGCACTTAAGATAACCAAGGAAGAAGTATCTAGAAGTGAGGCAAAAACTGAACTTATCCTGGCTGCAGCAGTGAGGGATGATAAAGGCACTTACACTGTGAGAGCTTCCAATCGTCTTGGCACTGCATTTCGCAATGTGCATGTTGAAGTGTATGGTAAGGATGTGACATTTTAATAAAATGACAGCTAATAAAAAGCTTTTGCCTCTTTCTTAATGTAATTCTATGCTCTATTGCTTTCCAACAGATCGTCCTTCTCCACCAAGAAATCTTGCTGTTTCTGACATTAAAGCAGAATCATGCTATTTAACATGGGATGCGCCTCTTGATAATGGTGGTAGTGAAATAACCCATTACATTATTGAGAAACGTGATGCTAGTAGGAAGAAATCTGAGTGGGAAGAAGTCTCCAAAAGTGCTGTTGAGAGAAGATTTGGGGTAATTTATAAAATATCTTTATTACGTACTTTAGTCTGCATAAAAAATAACAATAGTACACATCTAATGAAAACTGCTACTTGCATAGATACCTGTGTTTGTGCTCCATTTAGACTCCAGAATTACTAGATTAACATTGCCCATCTATGTATGTGTGTTTTCCACATGCGACAAAACAAACGAAAGTGTTCTCTTTTGCTACTTAATCTCAGCTGAGTTTAGAAGACATCTTCCTTTCCATTTCCCAGCATCATTCATAGATTTACCAACTGCAAAAACAAACATGATGACATTTTTATTTATGTTTGGTCCTATGCATGTGAAATAAGAATATCCCTAGGGCATTACATACAGCTGTGTAGTACATAAACATAGGTATGTCAATGAGATTGCAAGACAGAATTTAAAGTGAAAACCATTGCATAACTTCAAATAAGTTTATTCTGAAAGTAGCCAAGTATTGATTTAAATCTTATTTTTCAGGTATGGAATCTTGCAACAAATGAGAAATATCAGTTTAGAGTCCGGGCTGTAAACAAATATGGAATAAGTGATGAATGCCTCTCAGAAAAAGTTGTTATTAAGGATCCCTACGGCCTTCCTGGACCTCCTGGAAAGCCAAAAATTTTAGATCGCACCAGATCATCAATGCTGGTGACTTGGGAGCCTCCTTTGAACAATGGTGGCAGCCCAATAACTGGCTATTGGTTGGAGAAGAGAGAGGTGGGAGGTGTCTACTGGTCACGTGTTAACAGAGCTCCAGTAACAAAACCATCAGTAAAAGGTCTAGAGTACAATGTGCTTCGTTTGGCTGAAGGTGTTGAATACCAGTTTAGAGTTATGGCTGAAAATCTTGCTGGAATTGGCCCTCCCAGTGAACCATCAGATCCTGCCTTAGCAGCAGATCCCATATGTAAGTATATAAGTTGTATGACTATTTTTAAAGACTATATCACACCAGAAGCAAAATGTGCTACTATTATTTATATTGAATTTAGTACAATTAATCCAATGTTTTGTTTTAATTAAACCAAAAAGAATATATTGATACAAAGCAGTTTCCTGATTTGCTTTTCACCATTTTAAAAATAATTAGCTTTAATTTAATTTTTTTACCTCTTTTATGAACCTTAAACTGTGATTACACCAATGCAAACATTGCCAAATAAACTTGAGTTCAGAATCAGATTTTTATATTAATGTTTTTCTTTACTGTTAAAGAGTTCAATCTTCATGCCTTGTACCTTAAATATGTCTTAATAATATATGTAATATATGTAATTAGTATGCATGTTCTGGGATTACACACTGTATGTACGACAGAAGAAAATGAAAATACTTGCCGCCTTCTAGAAACTATTCAGAAAAATATAGGCAGACACTAACTCTCAGGTAATTTTTACTTGTTCTTGTTTTACAAGTTGTGCCTGGTCCACCATCTTGCCCAGAGGTCAAAGACAAAACCAAATCATCTGTAGCTCTTGCATGGAAGCCTCCACAAAAGGATGGTGGCAGTCCTATAAAGGGATATATTGTTGAAATGCAGGATGAAGGTAGTACTGACTGGAAGAAGGTGAATGAAGGAGACAAACTCTTTCCTACTTGTGAATGTGTTATTCCTAACTTGAAAGAGCTCAGAAAATACCGATTTAGGGTGAAAGCTGTAAACGCTGCTGGAGAATCAGAACCAAGTCCTGCAACATCAGAAATACCTGTCCAAGATATTCTAGGTAAGTGTTCTGGGAATTAATTTAGATATTTATATCTAAATGCCACGTACTGCTGTGAATGTTCAAGCAACCCGAAGTCAAAACAGAACAAACAATTGTGCAAAAATGTAACAAAAGATTGACACACATTTTTGAAAGTGTCATGATCACCATTACCAGGGCAGGATCCATTAGAAAACTGATGAGCGCCGACAGTCATACTAAGGAAATAATGTGTATTTTATGAAGAAATGACTACAACAAATTTTTCTATTTGTATACTTCCCAGCTTCCTTTTTGCACATGCAAACTTTCTCACATAAACATGCATTCTGCATGTTTGTGTGGGGTTTTAGTTCAGTGCTGACAGAAATTTACTTTCAGTAGCTCTTAAAATTTATATATTAAAATATTTTTGCAGAGGAACCAGAAATCTTCCTTGATATTGGAGCACAGGATTTCCTCTCTTGTCGTGCTGGCACAACAATTAAAATCCCAGCTGTTATCAAGGGTCGTCCAGTTCCAAAAACATTTTGGGAGTTTGAAGGAAAAGCAAAGACAACAGCAAAGGTTAGTAAAAGAAAAAGCTTTTTTCTACGTGTGTTTCTAGACATTTAAGCCTATCCCCTTTTATATTTACATTATTTCCTTTTGTTTATAGGAGGGAGGTCATAATGTACCTGAAGAAGCTCAGGTAAAGCAAACAATTTTTGTAACTTTAGTATTGTTGCATTTTTCAAACATGAATATTTAAAGTTGATATATAACTTCTCTTTCTTTCTGTAATGCACAGGTGGAAGCAACTGATACACGTTCAGTGATTATCATCCCTGAGTGCAACAGAAGTCATTCTGGACGATACAGCATTACAGCAAAGAACAAAGCAGGACAAAAAACTGTGCATATCAGAGTCAATGTGCTTGGTATGGCTTACACATATCAAAGTATTCAAATACTAGGTTTTAGTCTTGTTTTTCTACATACTTATGTAAAATTGTTTCTGTTGTGCTTTTACCTTAACAGATGTCCCAGGTCCGCCAAAAGACCTAAAAGTAAGTGATATCACAAGAGGTAGTTGTAAACTTTCATGGAAGATGCCAGACGATGATGGTGGAGATAGAATCAGAGGCTATGTTATAGAGAAAAGAACTATTGATGGGAAGGCCTGGACTAAAGTCAACGCAAACTGTGGAAGTACTTCCTTTGTTGTACCAGATCTCATATCTGGCCAAGAGTATTTCTTCCGGGTACGTGCAGAAAACCGTTTTGGTGTTGGCCCTCCTGCAGAAACCATCCAACGGACCACAGCCAGGGATCCAATCCGTAAGTGAAATCAAAGTCAAACAAATTCTTTAAAACCATATAGTACTGTACAGTGGATTTATTCACATTTCTGTTTTGTTTGTGAAGATCCTCCTGATCCACCTATTAAACTAAAGATTGGCCTTGTAACCAAGAACACAGTGAGCTTGACATGGAAACCACCAAAGAATGATGGTGGAGCTCCTGTTACACATTATAATGTTGAATGTCTCCGCTGGGATCGTACCGGAGAAGTGAAAGAGACTTGGAAACAATGCAACAGACGTGACGTGGAGGAAACAAAGTTTACTGTTGAGGATCTTGTAGAAGGTGGAGAATATGAGTTCAGGGTCAAAGCTGTAAATATAGCAGGTCCTAGTAGGCCTTCAGCCACTGTTGGCCCACTTGTTGTCAAAGACCAGACATGTAAGTACTAACTGATACCAGTAAATACAAATTCCATTTTAAAATTATGAAGTATTTTTGTATGTTAATCTTTTCAACATTTCTTTGTAGGCCCACCATCTATTGAACTCAAAGAATTTATGGAGGCTGAAGAAGGAACAGATGTTAACATTGTGGCCAAGATAAAGGGTGTACCCTTCCCCACATTAACATGGCTAAAAGCTTCTCCAAAGAAACCAGATGACAAAACACCAGTGCTGTATGATCAACACGTCAACAAGATTGTTGGTGAAGATACTTGCACTTTATTGATTCAACAGTCTCGCAGAAGTGATACAGGCTTATATACTATAACAGCTGTAAATAATCTGGGAACTGCTTCAAAGGAGATGAGACTGAACGTGCTAGGTAGATATCAAGAACTCTTATGCATTTCATAAATTGATAGCGTTCATGTGATACCTTATTTTAATAACATTTGAATTAATTCTTCTTTATAAAAATGTATCTTTTAGGTCGTCCCGGACCTCCAGTGGGACCTATTAAATTTGAATCCATTTTGGCTGATAAAATGACAATATCATGGCTTCCTCCATTAGATGATGGTGGTTCTAAGATTACAAACTATGTTATAGAGAAAAAAGAAGCAAATAGGAAGACATGGGTACCCGTTACTAATGAGCCTAAGGAATGCTTATTCACTGTTCCGAAGCTGATGGAAGGCCATGAATATGTGTTCCGCATTAAGGCACAAAACAAATACGGTATTGGAGAACCTTTGGATAGTGAACCAGAAACAGCACGAAACCTTTTCAGTAAGTAGGAATGTGCTTTCAACAACAAATAGTTGTTTTCATATGCTGGTATGTGTACAGCATCTGTTAGATACCACTACTATTTTCTCTCTTCACATAAGTAAATTTTCTAGAATAACTTGAAGAGTTTTAGCATTAGCTGTTAGTTCTTAAAAGAATGTGCAGTACTTAAAAATACTTTTCTCCCTCCTTGTTTTATATTAAAATACAGTCTCAAGCTTTTTTGAGGTTTAAATATACAAATAACAGTTTATCAGGTGCGGTCGACACCCCTGAGGGACAGGATGCTATCCAGAGGGACGTGGACAAGCTTGAGAAGTGGGCCCATGTGAACCTCATGAGGTTCAACAAGGCCAAGTGCAAGGTCCTGCACCTGTGTCGGGGCAACCCCCAGTATCAATACAGGCTGGGGGATGAAGGGATTGAGAGCAGCCCTGCCGAGAAGGACTTGGGGGTACTGGTGGACAAAAAGCTGGACATGAGCCAACAATGTGCGCTCGCAGCCCAGAAAGCCAACCATATCCTGGGCTGCGTTAAAAGAAGTGTGGCCAGCAGGTTGAGGGCCTTCTTGGCTACCTCAGCATACTGCTGGCTCATGTTCAGCTGGCTGTCAACAGCACCCCCGTGTCCTTTTCTACTGGGCAGCTTTCCAGCGGGTTGAGGGAGGTGATTCTCCCCCTCTACTCTGCTCTGGAGTACTGCGTCCAGCTCTGGAGCCCTCAGCACAGGAAAGACATGGACCGCCCCAGCTCACACGTGGGTTAACAGGAGTGGCTTCAAGAGGAGCTAAGCAAGGTCTTAGGGTGAAAATCCTAACGGCCACACAAGGTGGAGGGAGATGGGGGGTGCCTGAGGGATGTGCTGGCCCCAAGGGACCCGAAAAGCAGGAGTGCGGAGCAGGGGATGGACGGATGGGATGGTGACCCCGGGGAGGCAGTGGGAGCTGCCAGGGCACGCGAGCAAGACGGCAGAGCAGATGGGAGAGGCCATATGGGGCGGTGAGGGACGCTACCAAGAAAGCAAAAAGAGGTCCCTGGAAGAAAAAATGCTTGCTCAGAGGAGCTCAGTTTCTTGTATTCTTTTTTTTTTTAACAAAACCCAGTTAGGGTTTGTGTTGTGGTTATGTTGCCCCTGCTTATTGCAGTGGGGTTGGAGTAGATGACCTTTAAAGGTCCTTTCCAACCCAAACTATTCTATGATTCTATGATTCAGGTCATTCTGTTGCATTTGAGACATTATTGACCTTATAGATCAGGAAGAGTCAATTTCCTGCCTTCAGTTTTGAAAGAGAAATTAGAGTACAGAATCATAGAATCATTAAGGTTG